ATAGTGTAAGACCTTAAATCGCCTTTTCTTATGTCACTGGTGGGGATTTCTGAGAATGTCCATGGAGAGGAATAGGTCAATATTACAATGATAATGTACAAAGGATGGTTCTTATTTTGATTATTACATCTGCAACCTTTTGTTTTTAAACTGAACTCACAAATCATGGCCATCCATTTAAAGTGGTATCATAAATCAAAAGGAGACTACTTAGAAGTCCGTTGTGACACCACCATCAAAGTCTAATTACATAATGGCCACTTTATAAACACAGTGACAGCCTGCAGGCATATCAGGAGGGGATGTTGCTTCCTCTAGGATGAAGTCACTTGGCATCACACTCATCTTTCAAGGCTCCTAAGGTGTGGTAATAGCTATGACTCATGAATTGTCCTTTTATTGCTGCACCGATTACATGATTTCCACCATCAGATGAGCTATTAGATTCTTACTTCACTTGCTTACTGCACACAAACAGCATCACAGTAAATGCCACGTTTTCTAAGGCAAATCAGTGGGATCCACTTGCCAGGTATGACCTACCAGTAAAAAGGTGGGGGGAGAGAATCTAGTGTCATGATCTCAATGGTTCCCTTTACATAAAGGAAGAGAAGTAAAGATGGGTTTATCTACTACCCCAGGAATCCAACCAGAGGCAACCTGTGGACTAGGAAGAGGGGCTTGCTATGTTAGTGCCCTGAAACAGAGGACCCTACGAAGGGGGACCGAGAGGGTGCTCATTCTGACTGAATGGAAGAGAGCAATGAGGAAAGGGGCTAGGTAGGCAAGAAGCTCGTTCAGAGGACCCAAGAGAAAATCGGCAGGTGAACCCCGATATCCTCTTCTACAAAATGAGATCAGTGACCAGAAGGTCTGAAGCCTCCCTCTGAATGTCACAAGTGCATGTGTTGATAGTCGGGGCTGCACAGAGACTGCACCATGGCAGAGGGCAAGCAGGTGTCAGGCCACCAGGATCCATCCGGTCCATAGGAGTAGGGAGTGGGCGGGGCCTCAGCTCTCCTCCTCTCTGTGAACTCTTGGGCCTGGAGGCAGAGGAGTGTGGCAACAGGCAGTCACCTCCTGGGAGAAGCCCAAGGGTAGATCACTTCTAACTACCTTCACTTTTCCCTCAATAAGAGCATCTGGAACATATTTAATGCTACACAAGCAGCATCTCACTACTCCAGCACATGTTGTACGTGCTACTTGGGATAAAACGTTCTCTCCTCTGAATGTCATCACAGGGTTCACTGCTGTAGAGAATGCACTGCACCTTGCACATCCCCATGGACGTTTGGAAGAGGCCTACCAGAACACCCAGGACGCCCAGGGGAAGGCGCTGTGCAGCACGCGCACTGGGGAAGCAGACTGTCACCAGAACTTGCTCTCGCCAGGACCCTCACGTCAAAGAAGGTTCCCCAGGACTAGGAGCAAGGGCAGGAAAATGGGCCCTTCTGAGTGCAACAATGCAAGTGAGCACCCGGGTATGAAGCAAAGATGAGCTGCAGCTACACCAAGATGTTAGAAACACTGGGTTCAGTCATCTACTATCTCCCTCTTCATGTCTGCCTCTGTCCCCTCTTCAGTACCTGAGCCACAGCCCCCACACCTCACCAGCACCCCACATGTATGCCAGTCCTCAAAGCATCCCTCCAAAATTCCAGTCCTTCTGGTCAGCTTTTGGGGAAGAAATTACATCACAATTTAAATCACACTAAAAATTAAAATCTGAGAACAGCCAAACTCTTCCTTTCAGAGGTGTCTGCATTTTAGGAGACAGCAGGACAGAAAGCTTTAATCCCAAAGGAATCAATCTTCAAGGACGGGCTTACAGGTCAACTTGATAACACAGGAATGGGGCCATCCATGGGTTTTTCAGGTCTAGACAACTGAGCCATAATCCATGGGAAACTGCAGCAAGCACTAACATGTGTTCATGTATGTTGGTCAGCTGTGTTTGCTTTGGGGCCTGGAGATGTGCTGGAGAGCATATTATAGCATGTCTACACACGTTTTTTCTTAAGTCCTCCTGTTTTGGTCAACTACTGACCTGCCAGCAAAATATGCTGAACTTAAACTTATGTCTACGTTGAGCTACACAGAAGTGGCCTAAATTCATCATTTTCAGGTTTGTATTCTTGTCAGTCTATTGCCTGATAAAAGGTGGTCTTAAAAAAAATCAGTACTCACCACATACCCGGATGAGTACTCCACTCTTTTACCATCTGTCCTTAGCTAGTTTTCAAGTTGGCAGGGTTTCTCAGCCTTAGCACTGTTAACAGTTGGGTCAGAAAATGTTTTGCTGAGGGGTAGGGAGGTACCTGTGCACTGTCGGATGTTCAACAGTGTCCCTGACCTCACCTGTGAAATGTCAGTGGCACCTTTTGGGGTATGACAACCAAAAATGTCTTCAGGCCTTGCCAAATGTTCCCTGGGGGCAAAATCACCCCCGTTTGAGAACCATTGGTTAAAATAGATTATAAATATGACAGCCCAATCCACCGATGGGAAGAAAACAGTAGTTTTTACAGAGGTGGTGACATAGTATGCACTTCCAAATTATCCTAACTCATGAGCCCCTAAGTGCTATTCTAATGGAAACAGGGCACCCAAGGCTTCAAAGAAAAAAACTGATTCAGACAGTGTCTCAGGGGAAAAGAGGTAAAGGGAAGACCCAATCAGACCTAATCTGGAGGAGAGCTTTTCTGTCTTCTAGTCAGATAACAGGCTCCTTTTTATTTATTTTATTTTACTTACTATGAACAGTTTGTGTTACTGGAAAATGGTAAACTGACTGGGACGTATATGCAGCTTACCCTCATTGGCTGAGCCAGCCCAGCAGACAACTGTGGAACAGGCTTCAAGCATACAAGTTACCAAGATAGAGAAACAGCACTAACCCATATACTGGCTTACAAACATCTTTCCGTTTGACCCGATAATGTAAGTGATTGATAAGATTTTTAAATTATGGCAGGCCCGAAAAAATAAATAAATAAAGACCTGCATTTTTTGCTTATTACTACTTTGGAATCCATAAAAACCCAACTACTCTAAAAGGACATTTCCTGCCCGGCCAGAGTGCCCCAGTGGTTGAGCTTCATCCTATAAATCAGGAGGTCACGGTTGGATTCTGGGTCAGGCACATCCCACAGCCGGTGGGGGGGGGGGGGGGGGGGTAGGGGGGTAGGGGGGGTAGGGGGGGTAGGGGACGGTGGCGAGCATGCAGGAGGCAGCCAATCAATGATGCTCATCTTTGATGTTTCTATTTCTCTCTCCCTCTCCCTTCCTCTCTGAAATCAATAAAAATAAAAGCAAATTTCCCAGTCCTTTGTAAAGCCAGGTTTGGTTGCACAGCTTTCTCTGCTTGCCCCAGTGGTCCTCCCACCCTCATTCCAGAGTGACTGACAATCACTAGCTCCATAAGATAAAGACCTTAACTACTACAGAGTGGAGCTCTAGGCTCCTGCTGGCCGTTTCTCAGGTAAATAGGGTATCAGATTCCATCTGAAACCTCTGAGGGACGGAAGCCTGCGCCCAGCTTTTAGCACAGGTGTTTTACCTACACCTACAGGATGACTGCTAACATCTTTCCGGACCCTATTTCTATCACATCAAATTCCAGCAGTGTTGCTAATCAGCCTATTTCATGCCCTTTTCTCCCTCTGCTCTAGACCAGTGCCATCAAAGTGCGTCCCCGCTCAGCATTCCCTGGGAACTCCTTAGAAATGCAAATGATCAGGCTGGCGTCCAGACCTAAGGAGTCCACAACTCGGAGTCGTTCAGCAATGTGTTGTGACAACCCCTCCAGGTGGTTCCCGGAAGGAACCTAAAGTCTGACAACCAATGACTTCGGCGATTTCTATAACCACAGCAGGTTATTTTTACAGCACACAAAAGTGTAGTCTGGCAAATGCGCTTTACATAAGCTCTCACGGGCTCCTCAACCCTGATGCAAACTACATGTTATCCCCGCTTCAGGGACTGGCCACGGCTCAGGGCCCGAAGCTAATCACTGCTGGTGGGAGGTCAGTTTTTGTAGGTTTTCTCACTATTGAAACAAAGGTCTGTCGCATTTTATTAACCAAGTCTCTATATTTTGCTTTTTTAGTTTTTGGCAATTGGGGGCGGGGAGGGGCGGGAGAGAAGAAATGGATGGGTGAGAGAGAGCTGCGTGCCAACTGCTTGGGTCCTACCGGATCGGGATTTAGGGGCGCGATTCGGAAAGGTGCTCTCCCAACAAAGGACGTGTATTCGGCCGCGTCCTCTCGGTCTTTGCCGGCGGGGCTGCGCACGTGCGACCGAGGAGTCGGGACTTGGGGGCGAGACACACCTCTCCTCGCCGCTGGCATCCCCGGCGCAACAAGCTGTCCGCGAGAAGGGAGCCGGCCGCGCGCCCTGCAGACGGGCTTACGGAGAAACTGGCACCCCTAAAACCAGGGGGGCGCATAACCCGACACCGCAGCCCCGGGGAGAAGGTGGCAGGCGGTGAACCTGAAACCGTCCAGGGCCGCGCGGAAAGAAACCGCAGTCCCACTGGGTCCGAGGGAAAAGAAGAGGCGCAGAGGCTAGAATGGAACGGAGGGGGGCACCCCAGAAGATGAAGCGGGGGCTGGAGTGGAGAGAAGGGGACACCCCAGGATATGGAAGCGGGGGGCTGGAGTGGATGGGGCACCCCAGGGGATCGAAGTGGGTAGCTGGGGTGGATGGGGCACCCCAGGGGATGGAAGTGGGGGCCTGGAATGGATGGGGCACTCCAAGAGATGGAAGTGGGGAGCTGGGGTGGATGGGGCACCCCAGGAGATGGAAGTGGGGTCTGGGTGAATGGGGCACCCCAGGAGATGGAAGCGGGGTCTGGGTGAATGAGGCACCCCAGGAGATGGGAGCGGGGGGCTGGGTGGAGGGGGCACCCCAGGAGATGGAAGCAGGGCTGGGGCAGAGGCTGGCATGGAGCAGAGTGGAAGCCCCAGGAGATGGGGGTGGGGTGGGCCACCACTCACTGTGTGGGTCGCTCTTCTCCCGGACCCCGTCCACGCGGCCGTCGGGTTGGATGCGCAGGAAGAAGCCCCCGTTTTTGCAGTACAGCCGCTTGGGGTCCTTGAAGTGGCCGGGCGGGAAGGCGCCGCTGCCGCCGTCGTCCGGCAGGGAGGGCATCGTGGTGATGCTCCCGGCGGCCATGGCCCCACCGGGGCCCTGTCGGGGTCCCCGAGCCCCTGGCGCCGCGCGGGGAGCCGCCGCCCCTCGGCCCCTGCCTCGGCCTCCGACTCGCTCCGAGGCGCGGCCCCGGCCCCGGCCCCCCAGCCTCCCGCCCGGCGGCCCGCGGCCGCGGCCGCGGGCCCCCAGCCTCGTGCCACTCGGCCCTGCCCTCTCCGCCGGCCCTGGCGCGCGGGGAGCCGGGCGGCCCGGGACCGGGGGTTTGGGGCTCCGAGTCTCCGCGGCCGCCACTCTCGGGAGGGCCGCTTTCCTGCGCTGCAGAGCCCCGGGTCCGGTTGCAGCCGCGGGCACGGCGTCCACCGTCTGGCACGGCCGGGCCGCGCGTCACATCTTCTACATCTCCACCCCCGGCACCCACCGCCCCCACGGCCGCTCCCCGCCCTCCCGGCGCGCCGCCCCCTGCCCGCTCCGGGCTAGCCGGGCCGCAGCACGCAAGCGCGCGAGGTCGGCCCCGGGGAGGGCGGGGAGGTGCGGGCGCGGCGGGGGCTCCACCCGGCTGGTTCCCCCGAAGTCGCCCCAGCCCAGCCCCGCGCCAGCGAACCGCGTTGGGTATTTGTGCGCACCGAGGAGCTCTTGCTGCGCAGCCGGCCGTGACTCAGTCTTTAAAGTTTAAATGCCACTTGCTCCCCGTTCTTTTCCAGGGCCAGCGTTTCGGTGCAGAGAAAACTGTCCACCCCCAAGAAGCAGAGCAGTCAGAATCGGGCTGGGGTCCTGTGTCAGAATAGGTTTGAATGTCTCTAATCACCACAAGAGAGGGCTATGCGCGCGCGGGACACAAACTGTTAAAACTGAAGGCACAGGCTGAAGTCATTTACCAACAAAGGAGAGAAAGAGGCCCGAGGAGGGGAGCGCTGGGTTGCTAAGAGGAAAGGTTTTCTTCGCCAACCTAATGAGAACTCAAGCCTACGTGGGAAAACGAACATCCGTACCGTGATGGCCTGGCGCTCATGTCTTTATTCCAAGCGTCACTAACCCTTGCTAAATCGTTAGGCATGTCTTGGAGACCGGGCAGTTTGGGGAAAATCCTGACTACAGAAATAAAGTGAGTAGCATTTTGGTAGCTTTCCATAGAATATAGCAGGCACTACAGATTAGGAAAATATCCACCCATAAATCTTCATGTACTGAGCGCCCACTCTGCGCAAAGCATTTGGTAAGTGCGGTGGGAGATGCCCAATGAGGTGGGACCTTCTGGTGCAGTGAGGGAGACCCTGGGGCATGAGCAACACAAATGCCACTAGGGAGTGTCAAGGGAAGGAAAATGAAGTGAGATTTCAGCAGAGGTAAGTCGGCCTGGGGGCAGGTAGGGTTGGGGAAAGCTTCCAGGAGGAGGTGAGGATACGGAAGTTCCTCTGTTTGGGAACATGTTTGGTTTCAAAAGAGCATCCATGAGTGCATTTGGTCATAAGTCTCCAAGAGGGGCTTAGCTCTAGACGCATTTCTAGGGTGTTCATTAGGAGTAAGAGTCGATTCTTTGGAGCTTTAAAACCAGGCATACTCTCCTCGGGGCTGGTGTATGTTCTCTGACATCTCTCTCTAGAACGGGCAGGTTTTATCTGCACTGAAAGTCAATTAAGACAGCTCCCTTCCAGGTGATCTCCGTAGGCATCCTAAGGAATGCTTACTGCTACTGTAGCACCTGAGGAAGAGAGTGAAGAAATAAAATGGAGTCACTACAATCAAGCTGCGAAACTACTAAAATAAAGTAATTTATTTTAAATTACAACAGGAATACTAGCCTGGGAACTTAAACTCCTGCACTTTCCAGTCCCCTGTCTTCAAACCTCTAGATAACCTTCTGATTACCCCCTGAAGGACTAAGGAAAGGTTGTTCATGGATCCAGACCACCTGACTTCCATTATCCAGACAACCCGTCCTCTAGAGCAGTGGTTCTCAACCTTGGCTGCACATGAGAATCACCTGGGAATCTTTTTAAAATCCTGATTTCCGGGCCTCATCCTCCGGAAATTCTGTTTCTTTGTTATGGGGTGGGGCCACAACATTAGTAACAAAGAAACAGAATTTCCGGAGGATGAGGCCCAGAAATCAGGATTTTAAAAAGATTCCCAGGTGATTCTAATGTGCAGCCAAGGTTGAGAACCACTGATCTAGAGGACTCCCATCTTGGACCAGGCCAGAGGCTAACAACGCAGGATTGATTCTTCTCAAGCATGTACGTTTTAATTTATTATAAGAACTCTTAGCTTTTTTCTCTTGTTTGGAATACTCTGGGTTTTGCCTACTTGTGTTTCTGGTTTGTAAATCCTAAGACCCTTGAATAAATCTTTATCATTTATTTCTAGCCAAAGCCTCCAGACTCCTTTTGAGTTCATTCAACACACTCATCAGGTTACCAATTATCTTGAAATAAAGCAGATTTCTGTGTTGCAGAAACCTGAGTCTTCTAAGAGCAAAGGGATAATAAGACCTAAGTCCAAATATTTTTTAACAGGATGTCTGACAGCGAGGCAAAGGTGTAATGGCCACCATAACGAAAAGGTAACTTCAGACCAAAAGATAAAGCAGGCAATTCCATAGAATATAACAGAATTTATTATAGAGTATTTTGCTTAAAGGAAGATTTGACCCAGCAATTTTGCACAGATTATTATCTGCTAAAGACTCCTGTTACTGTCCAGTTTTTACAGTGTAACTCAGGTACTAGTGATTGACGAGGCAAAGGGACAAAGAATGCAGTAGTGCCAGGGCCATGCCTCCTGGTGGTCATCCTATCTCCAGTTTGATATTTATATCTGTTGTCATGCCATTCCATATGTTACAAAAATATTTATGGCTACATTTTAAGAAACAGATAATCATCAATTATCAACTAGAAAGTTTTGATACAACTTGCCCAGGACAGTGAGGTTGGTCAAAGGTCACAACCTGAAAGACACAAAGATGGAAATGGTTTGTTTTCATCTACACTTATGCACAATAGTATCCAGAAATTTTGGGAATAGATACAAACGATTAAGTAATGTGTATGCTAATGGCCCACAGATCTTGTGGAACTGCATTCCATGCACAATAACCCCTTGTTTCCTAGTTCCGACCAAAACTAGGAGAGGAGATGTCACAAGAAATAATTAGTTCAGCTCTGGGTATCTAGGTTTCCAAGACAAACAGTATTAATTCCAAGGAGACATCATTAAGATAGTTGTCTCAAGTTCCTACCCAGCCCCCTCCCAACACACACTTGTACACACACAGACACACTATTCTTTGATGCAATCAACTCGCTCTGAGCTGAACCATGAGCACTTAAATTACATACATTCTCAATTTACCCAGTTACAAGGATGAATAGGAAAATAATGATAACTTTGAAAAATGGAACCAATAGGAGAAATTTTGTAAGATGATGAATATAAAACTCATTATTAAAAAAAAAACTACTAGGTTCCAGTGATGACTATTTAGGAACTATAAAGGAAAGAGGAATTTTCCTCATAATATCAAGATAAGTTATGTTGGAATTAATAATAATTGCTCATAATCTAAATAATGAAAAGTACAAAAATTTAGTGACAGCTTTAAAAAACTCCATAAATGTACCTGAATGGAAGCATATAGTAAAATAATGTAAAATTTTTCTAACCATATTTGAAATTTTTAAACAATACTAGTTCCAATTCTAACACAATTTTAAAACTATACAAAATACTAAAACTTCATTTGGATAAATAAACATGAGAATAACAAATTCACTTTTTAGATTGTAGGGGCAAATATAAAACCTTTTAAATGGACAAAAAAGATACTAGGCCTTCAGCCTCAGACTGGGAGGCTCGTCCCGGCTCCCCTGCTTTTCGGGCTTTCGGACTCAGTAAGGGAAACCACCAGCCCTCTGGTCCTCGGCTTATCCATGGCAGATGGCATGCACTGGAGAAGGGCTCTGCTCAGATTGTTAGGAGTGCTTTTGCGATAATCACACCCTTCCCTCTGGTAGGAATTAAATTTTACAGCCTTTACTAATTACAGGCTAGTGCAGCCTTGGACAAACTACGGCCCGCGGGCCGGATCCAGCCAGTTTGAAATGAATAAAACTAAAAAAAAAAAGACCGTACCTTTTTATGTAATGATGTTTACTTTGAATTTATATTAGTTCACACAACCACTCCATCCATGCTTTTGTTCTGCCCCTCTGGTCCAGTTTAAGAACCCATTGTGGCCCTCGAGTCAAAAAGTTTGCCCACCCCTGGGCTAGTGGCTCCGTGCCCTCCCAATAGTAAACTGCTTTGAGACAACAGCTGGAAATTAGGTTAGAAAAGTAAATTCAGAAGAGGCTCATCAAACTTTTCTTGCCTATTAAATACAAATGAAATATCATAGTTGTGAAGTTCTATGGAAGGAAACATTGGTTGATTCTTGTATGTGTCCTGACTTGGAATCAAACCCACTGGCATATTGGGACAATGCTCTATCAACTGCTCTACCCAGCCAGGGCATGATTTTACTTTTTAAATCATAAGAGTAATAAGGAGAAACTTGCCCTTCCAGATGTTAAAAGGCACTATAAACCTGTTAAATATAAAACATTTTGGAATTGATGCATGAGATGATTGAAGAGCCAATGCAATTTAATCTGATTAAATTTTCAGAGTGTATCTGAACTGATTATATAATAAGCTGCCACAAAACAATATTTTAAAAATGTCAGTATCACTAGTAATAGAGAATGCATGTCAAGTAATAAAACACTCCCCAAAAGAAGAGCCCAGCACCAAATGGTTTCATTTTCAATATCTTAAAAAATATATATTTAGGAATAAATTTAACCAAAGAAGTTTAAGATTTGTAAACTGAAAACTACAAAACGTTGAAAGAAATTAAAGAAGATGTAAATAAATGGCAAGTTATCCATGTTCATGGGTTGGAAGACTTACTATTGTTAAGATAGTAATACTCAAAATGGTCCACAGATTCAATGCATTCTCTGTCAAAATGTCAACTTCCTTCAATATATATATATTATTGATTCAGAGAGGAAGTGAGAGAGGGAGAGAGAGATAGATACATCAGTAATGAGAGAGAATCATTGATTGACTGCCTCCTGCATGCCTCCTACTGGGGATCGAGCCTGCAACCCAGGCATGTGCCAAACTGTGACCCCCTGGTTCATAGGTTGACACTGAACCACTGAGCCACGCTGGCTGGGCAGCCAACTTCCTTTTTTTGAAGAAATTGACAAGCTGATCCTAAAATTGATATGGTCATGCAAAGGATCCAGAATAGCCAAAATAATCTTGAACAAGAACAGATTTGGAAGACTTAATCTCAAAACTTTCTACAATGCTACAATGTACAAGACAGT